TAGAAGTTTCTCCCAGCTCCAAAGTCCTGGATGAAAACTAGATATTTGGATTGCTGGGCTTCCCTCTCTCTACCTTAAATCAACATATTCTAGAGAGCATTAAAGAAACTGGTCTGTGGCTGGGCACTGGTGGCTCACGCCTATAATCCTAACTCCTTGGGAAGCTGAGATCTGAGGATAGTGATTCAAAGCCAACACAAGGCAGAAAGACCACGAGATCCTTTTATTGCCAGTAAACTACCAAAAAGCCAGAGGTAGCTCTGTGGCTCAAGTGGTAGAATGCTAGCCTTGAGCAAAAGAAGCTCAGGAATAGCACCCAGGCCCTGAGTTCAAGCCCCAGGACTGGGACACACACACACACACACACACACACACACACACACACACACACGTGTCCTGTCTATTGGGAAGAACATTTTTGAGTGGTTGTGTGGATGGAGAATGGATGGATGAATGCGGAGCTATATCCATATCAAGAGAAAGAAATTAGCCAGGCATCAGTTGCTTACGCCTGAAATCCTAGCTACTCAGGAGGCTGAGATCTGAGGATCAAGGTTCAAAGCAGGAAACTCTTGCCTCTAATAAACCACTCAGAAAACCAGAAATGGCGCTGTGGCTCAGGTGGTGGAGCACTCGCCCAGGCCCAGAGCTCAAGCCCCACGACAGAGAGAGAGAGAGAGGGAAACTGAGGTAGGTTTAGTGGCCCATGGCTGCCTGACACTCCCTCCCTCCCTCCTTCCCTCCCTCCCTGCCCACTGTACTTGCGGAGATGAGTGGAGATTGCAGGGCCTGTCCAGGAAATGGAGTGCTGGGATTTGGAGCCATCCAAGGCTGCAGTGCTGGACCAGAAGGGAGACAGGGAAAGCAATCATGTTTCTACCTTAGACCTTTAAAGGACATAAAGTGATAGAGGTGTAAATCTTGGAGTCAAAAGCATCGGGAGGTGGGGTGATGAATGTGTCTCCGCTGCGTTCATTGGGGCTCAAAGCAGAGATTGGCATTTGAGGTTGTCCTTTGACATCAGCAAATCTGGACTTCCAGCAAAAATGTCTGCGCTATCCAAGAGATTTATTAGGTCGTTAGCAATCAAAGATGGACATTTTATTGCAGGTGTTCTCTAGGTGGTATAAATTACACGGAAATGAAAGAAGAGACAAAAGGAAAGATGTTCACTAGGAAGAAGATTGGTTCATTTATATTACAGCCCTATAGCGAAAGCAATTCAGACCTTTAAAGATAGGCTGAGAGCATGGTTCGAACACAAAGTCCTGAGTTCAAATTCCAGGGCCACCAAAAATGAAGGGGGGGTATGAAGTCATAATATTCAATACATATCGTATGAAACTCGGAACATTCAGGAGACGGGGCGGGTTGGGAGAGATGGGAACAATTCAGGACTGACAACAGTCAAGATGCACTGTACTTGTAAACTGATTTGTTGAATAATTCCCTTGCACAACGACTTGAAGACAATAAAAATACATTGGTTTTTTTTTTTTAAGAAAGAAGTTGGGTGCCGGTGCATCACGGCTGTAATCCTACTTGAGAGGCTGAGATCTGTAGATTGTGCTTCACAGCTAGCCCAAACAAGAAACTCTTATCTCCAATAAGCTACTTAAGCTAGAAAGGGAGCTGTGACTCAAATGATAGAGCATTCACCTTGAACAAAAGCAGCTCTGGGACCATGCCCAGGCCCTGAGTTCAAGCCCGAGGACTAGTGCAAAAAGGAAAAAAACGTAGAATGTATTGGGAGCCAAGTACTGTGATGAACACCTAAAATCCCAGCTACATGGGAGGCTGAGTCGGGAGGATTGAAACTTTGGAGCCAGTCTGGGCAATGTAGTGCCTGTTCCAAAACACCATAAGAAGAGGCTAGGGATGGCGGTCGGTGCAGAATCGCTTACCTAACTAGAGGAAGGCCCTAGGTTATCAACTCTGAATTAAAACAAATAAATCCTGGTAGGTGATTGGCCCTTCACACTGCTTCATCACTGACTGGATGCTTTCCCTGCCTTGTCATTGGCCCCCAGGGCTGAGCAGCGGGGAGCATGTTCTCACTTTACAGATGAGCCAGCGTCCCTTGCCCTCCACCAGTCACCTGACACCCAGCCACACAGCCTGACCTGCCCCTCCCCCCTTCACACCAGCTTCTCTGCACCTTTGTTAATTATTATTATATTTTCTTGTGTTGGTTTGGTGTGTCTTGCCTTTGTTTTTTGTTTTTTAAGTTCACCCAGAGCCTCGTGCATGCTAGGCAAGCACTCCATCCCTGGCCCTGCATTTTCCGTAGTAAAGATGTACTATGACGGAGATAGGAAGCTGGCTTCCTTTATTAAGAAATAAAAACAGAAAAGATAGTTTTTTTTGTTTTGTTTTTGCCGGTCGTGGGGCCTGAACTCTGGGCCTGGGCACTGTCCCTCAGCTCTTCAGCTCAAGGCGAGCACTTTACCACTTGAGCCACAGTACCATTTCCAGCTTTTTCTGCGTATGTGGTGCTCAGGAATCGAACTCAGGGCCTCATGCATGCAAGGCAAGCACTCTACCACCAAGCCACCTTCCCAGCCCAAAGATTGTTCTTTCTAAATGAATTCCTGCACACTTAAAGCTGATTCTCAAGAGCAAATGAAAGCTGGTGTAAGGCCGGCGTGAACAGTGCTATCTTCCCCCATGGGGAAAAGTAGAATCAAGGGGTTCAGCCAGGAGCTGGTCCCTTACCAGTTCCGAGCCTCCGGATCTGGATACCCCACCTCACTCTCCTGCCATCTGGGTACTGGTCCAAGTCTCTTCCCCTTGCCTGAGGTGCTCCTTCCAGAGTCTTCTACAGGCCCTAGGTGAGGAACTGAGCCAGAGGCCCTTGCTTAAGTTCTTCAACAGTAGATGAGATCTCTTGATTCTTTTTTTGGGTCCAGTCGTGGGGCCTGAACTCTGGGCCTGGGCGCTGAACCTCAGCTCTTCAGCTCAAGGCTAGCACTCTACCACTTGAGCCACAGCACCACTTCCGGCTTTTTT